CCCTTGCAGGATTCAGGCCTCCTCCAACCAGAACAACACTCCCTGGATCTTCTTTAAGTACTTCTTCCCATCCTTCCTGGGCCAGAGTCTGGGCCTTGGCTCCATGCTTCTTTGACTCCACCTGTGCCTTTACCTCTTCCTCAATCTGACTTCTCAAAGGGCCAGAGGTGCAGAAGCTACTCACATATTGAATGGCTTACTCAGCTCTCCCCTCTCCCTGCTGAAGCATTCTCCTTTCTTGTGTGGAGGGAGAGGTACACACATGTGTGCTGGTACTAGGGCTTGAATTTAGTGCCTCATGTTCTTCCTTAGTGTTTTCCACTCCAGGCTGGTGCTTTACCACTTGAGCTATACCTGGCTTTTTGGATGGTTACTTGGAGGTAGGAGTCTCACAGACTTTGCTGACCCAGATGCCTTTGAACTGCAGTCCTCACATCTCTTAGACTCCTGAGTAGCTAGGATTACAGGCATGAGCCACCAGTGCCCAGATCTTGCTTTTGTTCTTGAGATAGTCCTGCTATATTCAGCTGAGTCTGGCCTCAGACTAGCACTCCACTTGCCTCAGTCTCCAGAATGCTGGGATTACAGGCGTATACCATCAGTGGCGTCTTTCTTGCTTCTTAAGAAAAAATTTTATACTTTTAAATTTTTATCAGATTATAAATTTAGACTCATGACTTTTATGACCCTTAGAAATTATAGAAAAGGACAAAAACTTCAAAATCATCTCACAGTTTTCCCTACTCCTGCTCTGTTTCTTTCAGAAGAAGGGAGATTGGGTATACAAGGATTCAGCAACACACATGGTCTGACTGTATCTTACACTGGGTTGTGGAGACCCAGGCCTGATCTTTCATAGGTGTGTGGTATTCATTTTCACCACTGTTTTATATTTCAGATGATATATGTGTTACAATTTAATTGGGCACTTGGGTTTCTGGTTGTTTCTTAATTTTTGCTCTCACCAAGAATGTTTCAGAAAACATTCATAGCATGCCTTCTGAGAATGTGTGAATTTTTTTTTTTTTGCTAGTCGTGGAGCTTGAACTCAGGGCCTGGGCACTGTCCCTGAGCTTCTTTTGCTCAAGGCTAGCACTCTACCACCATGTGTACCACAGCACCACTTCTAGCCTTTTCTGTTTATGTGCTACTGAGGAATCGAACCCAGGGCTTCAAGCATGCTAGGCAAGTACTCTACCATTAAACCACATTCCCAGCCCTGAATTTTTTCTTTAAATAAGGAAAATACTTAAAAAATGAAACAAGTTGGGAGTTGGTGACTCATGCCTATAATTCTAGTTACTCAGGAGTCTGAGATCTGAGGATCAATGTTTGAAGCTGGCCCAGGTAGATGGATCTGAGAGAGTCTTAATTCTAAGTATCCAGAAAGGAGCCAGAACTCGAAGTGTATTCAAGTGATAGAGTGTCATTCTTGAGCAGAAAAATCTGAGATCATGAGACCCTGAGTTTAAACCCTACACAGACACAGATACACACACACACACACACACACACAAGAGAGACAGAGATTAAAAAAAGAAATTGTACAGTATGGGTTACATTTTAATAGATGCTGCCTCTTTGCTTCCCAAACTAACTGTCCAATTTGTTTTTCCATCAAGGATGTATGATGCCAGATATAGTAGCTTACATCTACGATAGAGATAGAGATCTGAAGGATCATAGTTCAAGGCCAGCCCAGGGAGAAAGTTAGGGAGACCCTATCTCAATAAGTACACAGGCTGCTAAGCCTCTGTTGCTTCTCTCTACCCTCTATATAGCCAGCTCTTCCTGTTCTCCAAACAGGTCCCATGATGCCTCTCCTTTTCCTGTGACCCTGTGGGAATATTAAGAATTAACATGTGTCAAACTTCACTATCCTATGTGCAGATCTGGTTTGCATTACTCATATGGCCAACTAAGTGAAGGTTTTTATTCCTCCTTAGCCCTTGTAGGTTTATTTATGTATGCCTTCTGCTTTAGCATAATTTTTGGTATACTTGGTAAATGACATAATTTTCCATGTTTTAAATCCTTAATTATCTTTAAGTAGTTGTACAAAGCTATTTCGATTCAACTTGTGAATTTATGAGTATAGTGTTACCCTTTCCATCATTCTCTCTCATTTCTCTTAGCTCCACCCATCCCCTCAAGTTATCTGGTTCCATAAATAATACAATCAAATTCACATTAAATCAATATTATCTGTTGATTGTGGAAGCAGTAAGAAATACAATTGAGAGTGTCTGCAGCCATCAGCAAAGGGGCAGAACGGGCAGCCTCAAGTTCCTATACTCCTCAGAAACATCACAATACAACCAGGAGCTGTCAGAACAAACATGGTCAGGGATTCAGAAAACAGTGAAAGACCTACAGCAACCAAGTGAGCACTGAATGCAGAAGAAGGCACCTGTCAAACAGCAGACAAGCTTGGTGGCATTGTTCCGGCCTTTGCCCTGTCTCTCCTGATTTGGTGATAGCCTTGAAGACTGGAGCTCCCATTCCCAATGTGAAATTCGTCCTTGATTCTGGAGAAGGCAAAGAATACCTTATGTTTGAATGCTTCTGTCAGGGTCCTGACCCACTCGGGGGCTTCCTAAAGTAAGGTCACAGGTCCTTGTCTTAGAATTTACATAGGATGGTAAAACCCTGAGCAGCTCACAAAAATTGTAAGGCAAATGAAAAATCCACAATTGCCTGGGCAAGATAACACTGGAGCCATACACTAAAGCTCAGATTTTCTTTGGGAAATTGGGGCATTCGAAAGTGCTCACATATACTGAGCAGTTTAGAAAGTCGAGTGTTGCCCAGGGCAGATGCATTATCAGAAAAGATGACGAAGATCCTTAAGCTTTCTCCAGTGAAGCAGAAAGTAAGTAAAGGCTGAGGAGAATTGTGAATAGCCTGGCTAAGTATTAGAGTGTCCCTTAACCGGAAAATACACAAAGCATGGGACAAGGGGTTATTTCATGTGAAAGCTCCTGGTATTCAAGGCAGTGTTAGTGAAAACACTGAACATAGCCCAAGCCTTCAGAAATCAGCAAGAGCAAACTCTGAGGACCGAGGAGAATCTTATTTCCACAGAGAATGTATTCTAGTATTAGAACTCAACACTAATATCTAGATTCAGCACTACAACCACAAACCATACACAAAAACAAGAAGTATGCCACATTGAAAGGGAAAAACTGGCAGGAACTGTCCCTGAGAAATAGCAGACATTGAGCTTACTTTAGATCACCTCTTAAATATCCTCACAGAACCTAAGGAAATCTTAGCAAAGAACTAAAACAAAGCAGGAAAATGGATTATTAAAAAACTTCTAAAATCAAGTAAAAGACAAAAGTTCTGAAAAGGAACCAAGCAGAGGTTCTAGAGTTAGAAGGTATTAACAACTGAAATTTAAAATTCACTAAGAAATTGGCTCGGTGCTGATGGTTCACACCTATAATCCTAGCTATTCAGGAGGCTGCAATCTGAGGATTGAAGTTCAAAGCCAGCCCAGGCAGGAAAGTCTATAAGACTCTTATCTCCAATTAACCACCAAAAGGCTAGATAGAAGTGGAGTTTTGGCTCAAGTAGTAGAGCACTAGCCTTGAGAAACTGTTATTTAACTCATTTAATCTGTGGCATTTGCAGCTCAAGTCAACTAATACCAACACTGAGCTCTTTATAATAAGATGCCTCCATCAACTGTTCTCTCATGGAAAGCAACTTTCTTTCTCAGGTGGTTTTCCACTCAACCTTCAAACTCAAACTCAAATGCCACCTCCTCCAGGAAACTTCCCCTGATTGCTCCCGTGATTTTTGGGTCTTCCGGGCTGTTACATCATTCTTCCTGGAAGATCTTTAGCTTGTATCTTATAATGGAAGTTCATCAATAATGCTCAGCCCTGGGCTCTCTTTTGGATATTCTCCCCAAATTATCCACTCACCCCTTTCTATCTTGCATTTTTCCTCTGAACTCCAGAGCTGATCTGACTTGCTACCTTGATATGGGTAGCAAAAAGCACCTGAAGTTAAATATGTCCCAAATGGAACATGTTCCAAATTATGATTCCCATTCATCAGCACCATCTCTTGCCAATTCTGGCTGGATGGGCCCGGGGTGGGGGGTGGGGTGCCTCTTTGCACTTACCTGCCACATCCACCATCGTGGAGAGTCTCCTTGCTTTCACTCTGAACCATTATGCATCCTTTTTATAACCGTCCTGGACCAAACGACTCTCACCTCAACGCTAGACCCCAGCAGCCTCTCTGAGTTCCTTTCTGCCACTCTTAGCCCCTGTCACCTGTCAGAGCAGCCGTACCTACAGCAGTGTGACCCCTGTCTCTCTGGTGCTTTCCCTTTTATCAACTCAACACTGTCTAGGCCTTCAGCTTTGGCACATAACTGTCCTGTCTGGAATGCTCTTGCCTCTGGGTACCTGGTTAATTTCTACTCATTCTAGACTCAAATGCAATGTGATCGAATGTGCCTTTCCTGACCTGCCCCTATCTCCCTCCCTTCTTCCCCCCCACCCCACCCCGTTGTAGCTAAGTCGTAGGTCTCCCGAGGGCCGACCTCAAGCCCCCAGGGCTCTCAGCAGGGAGAAGGTGGCTCCAGCACACACACACTGACGTCCAGCCGTGAGCCCTGGGTACCTGGGATCTGCTGCACGACCGAGTGATCACAGAATAGAGTCTCAGCGCTGCCATTTCCCAGCCATTCGACTGGGGGAATGGCTCTTGGTATTTCGGACCTTGTTTCTAAAATGAGGTTGGGCACTGTGTTCTGTCAAGATGATCTGTGTGGCTGGCTGGCTCTCAGTGGGCCCACACTCCTGTCTGTTCTCAGTTCACGTCCAGCGGTGGAGGGCTGACTCGCCCGGAGCGTGGGGGGGGGGGGGGGGGAGGCCCAGCCGGAGCGGGGGCCCAGCCCGAGCCGGCAAGGGTTCCAGGGGGACGGCGCGCACACCCCGAGGCCGGGCACACACTGGGGCCGCCGCCGAGTAGCCCACCTTGTAGACCCTCCAGGCGGAAGGTGCGGTGCTCCACTGACAGCCCCACGGGGCTGTAGGGCCCGTAGCGCAGGGTGACCTCGGCGTTCTTGGGCATACCCGGGCAGCCCCAGGAGTTCAGGCACACCGCGCGACTCTTGTTGCTAGGCAACCGCCCTTCCGCTCTGGGCGGTGGGCGTGGCCTCGCGGGCGGGGGTGGAGGACTTACGGCCCCACCCACCCCCACTCCAAGGCCCCACCCAGGGCCCAAGTTGCTCTCCGGAGCCCACCGCAGGGTCGGGTTCCCTGGCTCCTGTTAAGGGTGAATCAGAATGGGCGCCGGCGCTGGCGGCTCTCACCCGTAATCCTAGCTACTCAGGAGGTTGAGAACTCAGAAGCCCAGTTCAAAACCAGTGTGGACAGACCAGTGTGGGCAGACAGACCCCTCTCTGCAACCGGCAAACACCTGGAAGTGGAGGTGTGGCTTAAGTGGGAGAGGACCAGAAGTGAAACAGCTTAAGCAAGAGAGTGAAGCCTTGAGTTCAAGTTCCAGTACTGGCACCAACACACACACACACACACACACACACACACACACACACACACACACACACACACACACACACACACACACACACACACAGCAGCTAACCATCCAGTTGCAGAAAATTTGGGATGAGAGAATCTTGTCAGAATATCTTCCCTCAATTTATATTTACAGAAGTAAGGCTTAGAGAGGTCATGTCAGGAAGGGGTGTTAAGTGATCAGGAACCCTTGTGCTGCTATTTTATTGCCTGTTTTTGACTCAGCACAGTTTTTTAAACAATAATTTATTTTTGTCTTCTCTCTTGGAAAGTTGTTTGTGTACTCTAACTAGTTAGCAGAAATAAAAATGACGTATTCACCAATCTCAGCTTCATTTGTTCAACAGCTCTGCCCTGGAATTCAGCACTTCTAGGCCTGGTGATAAAATGTCACCTGCACACCTGCTGCCCGCCCCCCTCTCCATTGAGTCCTAGACACAGAGATCTCTCACCCAAGGGGTGAGGAACCCCAGACATACTAGGAATCTGGGGCACTGAATAGCTGCCTGTGTCACAGCAGTCTGTGACAGAAAAAAGAAGGAAACATTTATTCTGAAATCCCTGGAGGGGATCCTGGGGGTAGTCTATTATAGCAATTAGATAAGCTCTTGTGATTACAATGTACATTTTTAATTGCTAAAAAACCAATGGGAGTTGAAACTTTCCCTTTTGAACAATGCAGGGATTCGTATTAGTATTAATAATAATATTATTTGTATCAGTCATGGGGCTTGATGCTGTTTCTTAGCTTTGTTCACTCAAGGCTGGCATTCTACCACTTGAGCCACAGCTCATCTCCAGCTTTTTGCTGGTTAATTGGAGATCAGTGTCTCATGGATTTCTGTCCTAGCTGGCATGGAAAACTTTTTTTAAAAAAATGCAGGGATTCGTATGATTATCACTATGATTATGTTATTATTAGTATTAGTACTGGGGGATCAGAGACTGGGCCCTCTGTCTCTGAGCTCTTTTGCTCAAGGCTAGCAGTTACTACTTTTAGCCACAGCTTCTCTTTTGGTTTTTGAGTGGTTAATTGGAGATAAGAGTCCCATGGGGACTTTTCTGCTCTGGCTGGCTTTGAACCGAGATCCTCAGATCTCAGCCTCCTGAATAGCTAGGATTACAGGCATGAGCCACCCGTGCCTGCCCCCCTTTTTTTACCTTCTGGTCGTGGGGCCTGAACTCTGGGCCTGGGTGTTGTCCCTCAGCTCTTCAGCTCAAGGCTACCACTTGAGCTCTACCACTTGAGCCACAGTGCCACCTTCAGCTTTTTCTGCTTATGTGGTGCTGAAGAATTGAACCCAGGGCCTCATGCATGCAAGGCAAGCACTCTTCCACTGAGCCACCTTCCCAGCCCCAAACTTTTTGTTTTTTAACCTGTTTGTTGGTTGGTCCAGATTGCACCAGCAATCCATTTACGTAGAATTTCAAGGCTGAGCTTTCCTGACCTAGCCAATCACTTGAAATTGTGCGATAGTACACGTGGAGCTTAGGCACACACACACACACACAGTATGTGTGCGCACACACGTATGTGCACTCACAGAGACATTTTGGCAGTAATGGAGTTTTGAACCCAGTGCCTCTTACCACTTGAGCCATGCCGATAACCCTTTCGGCTTTAGTTTTTCTTATTTTTATTTTTTTGGTGCTGGTCCTGGGGCTTGAACTCAGCACCTGAGCATTGCATTATCCCTGAGCTTCTTTTGCTTAAGACTAGCGCTCTACAACTTGAGCCACAACTCTAATTATGGCTTTTTTTGGGGGGGGGTAGTTTAGTGGAGAAAAGGGTCTCATAGACTTTCCTGCCCTGGCTGGCTTCAAACCGTAATCCTCACATCTCAGCTTCCTGAGTAGCTAGGTTTACAGGTGTTACCTGTAAAGCTCCTTTCCCCAGATTGGCCAACAAAGGGCGCTTTTGTTGCAGGCAGTTGATCACCAGCTTTCTCCCTCTCTCCTTGAAGTAACATTCCATTTGGCCAGACACATCCATAAATGGTAACAGCAGGCCCCCTTATCTACTATTTGGGCAGCTACCATAAATCTTAGCCCACCATAACAGGTGCATGAAATTCCACCCTTAGCCCCTCTATATTATAAAAATCTCCCTGGACAAAGACAAGTGCTTTTTCTCTCCCTCCAGTGAGAGAACTAGCCTTGTTAGCTCTGCTGACAATAACCCCCCTTCCTCTGTATGTGACTGTGTACCTGTGGATTTTCTGGGATGGTGCTTTCAACTGGGTTTTTAGTTTATAGTTAGGTTTTTGTTTTTTTTAACATAGGAACTATCTGAACTCAAGGAAACGAAAATGAGGCCTCTTCTTTCTCCTCCTCCTTCTTTTCTTCTTCGCTGTTTTTGTTTTCTTTCCTTTTTGTTCTGAATGTTCATTTATACGTCTTTGGGAGTATAAGGGAAGGCACAAAAATAGAGGGACAAAGAGTGAACAAATGCAGCAATAGTACTCACTAGACACTGTTGAAAATGAATTGTACAACTTGTGGGTGGTATGGGAGGAAAAAACTGGGAGAGAGTTAGGGAAGGGATGTCATTGTCCCCTAAGAAATGCACTTTTTACCTGATTTATGGAACTGTAATCCCATTGTATAGCACCTTTAAAATAACAATTTAAAAAATCTTTAAAAGAAACCCTCTTTACTTAATAACCACAAATCAAAAACTGCTTGAACTTCCATTGTATTAGAATGATACAAAAAAAAATCCCAGGGTTTCAAACTAGTTTTATAGTATTTTTTAATTTCCCCATCAGTGTTTTATGCAATCTGAATTAAATGGAAAAGAAGCTAAAGCTACTACTATGCCACAACAATAGCCAATGAAAATATACTAGAAAACAAAAAACAAACAAAAAACCATAGCAACTTTCAGTTTTGCCAGGTTGTTCTTGGACCCCAGCTTCCAAGTAGGTGGGGCTACAAGTGTGCTCCACCGTGCCTGGTGGTATATTTGTGTATTTTACTCATTTCGGTGGTGTTATTTTCTATCCTCATTTCTGTGAATGGTCTTTTGGGATCCTGGGTCCTCCTTGGTGATACTCACTGCTTCTGCAAGGATTCTAAACCTACAGCTCATCCCCAGGCTGCCTATTCAGGGTCTGTAGGTGGCCCTGTGCATAGAAACAATCCTTGTATTGTGCTCCCTGACTCCCATCTTCTCCCTGACCTTGATCCAGTAAACTATGCTTTTTTTTTTTTGGTCAGTTACGGGGCTTGAACTCGGGGCCCGGATGTTGTTTCTGAGCTCTTTTGCTCAAGGCTAGCAATCTACCACTTTGAGCCACAGCTCTACTTTCGGTTTTCTGATGGTTAAAGATATAAGTCTCATGGAGTTTCCTTCCCTGGGCTGTCAGATCTCAGTCTTCTGTGTAGCTAGGATTACAGGCATGAGCCATGGGTGCCTGGCTCTCTTTATGCTTTTAAACAGTTTCTCCTTCTTTCTTAGGGCTTTATGTTTTCTAGGTAGACAGAGATAGTACTGGGTATCTGTGATTCCAGCATGTGGGAAACCATAGCAGGAGGAGCTCAGTTTCAAGTTGGTCCTGAGCAAAGTCAAGAGAAACTGCCTGAAAAATAACTAAAGCAGAAAAGGGCCAGGGTATGTCTCCAGTGATCAAGCCCCTAACTAACAAGTGGCCCTGAGCACAAACCTCACGTTACCCAGTTAACCAATAAATATGTACTTAATTGCTTCAATTTCTTATCTTTCTTTTTTTCTGATGGAAATATTAAAAACCATAATTTTCCATAATCATGTTTGCTCTTTTGATATGAAGTATATTTATTTTTCTTCTCTAAATGTCTCAGAGCTTGTGTTACAATGTCTTCTTGGACTCATGTATTTTAGAATTGTGTCTTCAATTCTAAAAAATTCTTAGCATTTTCTCCTTGACTAGTGCTTTTTTTCTATTCTAGTGAATCTCTCCTTGGGCTTCTACATATATATCTTTATTCTATCTTCTTTGTATCTTTTAAATAGTTTATTTAATAATATTCAGCTTATTTATCAATGGTTCTTGACTCATCTGCTAACTCAGGCTTTTGTGATTTTAATTCTATTTGCTGTGATATTAATTCCATTTTCTGTGAGTCTATCTATGAGTCATTTCTTGTATTATTTGTACGTCTCACAGTAAGCTTCTTTGTAGTGGAATATTTTTCTCTATGGGTGTCCAGGAGGAAAGTAGTTCTGCAGGGGATTTTTGCTGAAGTCCTTTGAGCTTTACTTAAGCCAGTTTGGCCTCTTAAAATGATTGGCTTGGAGTTCTAGCTTTAGATTGAGGTTGCAGAAATTCAGAATTTTCATCAGTGCATGCACAAGTTTGTGGTTTTGATTTCTCATGAATGTCTTTCTTTTCCTGAGCCATAGCCCTAAGTAGATGGCAGATTTCCTTGCTCCTCTCCTAGTTGATAGGAATTTTTTTTTCTAGTCCCTTTCCCAGAGGCGGGGGGCACCTCTAGGCATCCTGACTTGGGACTGGAATTCAGCTAACTTCTGTGGCTGGCAGGTGGTCTCAG